CGCGTAACTTGTATCGCATTCTGAGTCTGGGATAAATTAAAGTTGAAGTTTTCTGTGACGTTTGTTTAATGAAAATACACGTTGAAGCAAACAGAAGTTGCATAATTATGTTTCAACGCAGATATATATTTCTCAGAGTACTTCACTGTTTGTCGAGCCACCTGTTGCAAATACTTATCGACGCGTATTACCTTCAAATTAATTTACCTTTATGAGCTATTGGGTAAATTCTTGTGTAAGTGCTCACGACCCACTAAGTTTGATAATGGTCCATCTGTTATGTTCATATAATTTTAACGCAGCCATTAGTTGACCGTTGGAATTATTTCGCAAGTGGGTTTTTTTTAGGGACTTGTTTAGTCCAATTTTTCCCAATTTTTCTCTAAATTCTCAAAATACTGCATGCAATTATACCGAATTAGCATAACCTGCTCGTAAGGTTAGTGGTGACCCTCAGAAGAACAACAACCGCAATAGTCGGGAAGTGTGGCGAACTTAACGTACAAGGCAAGCTTTTCATTGGCGTTACCTGTTAGGTCCTCCATAGTAATTTGCAACATTATGTGTGCTTCAAACTAATCGTCACCAAACATAGCTTTAGCTGTATCAAGCCTACGAAAAGCTAACAATTCGGGGCTCGATTTACCAAAGCATTTTTTAAAGGGTAGCTTTATGTGCTGGAATATTACGGGAGTCATATTATGTTACGGTATTTGGCAACCGTAAAGCTGATTATCCATTTAATGTTCGGAAGTATAGATTCTTTGGGATTAAGGTAATGCGACAAAATTGAATAGCCGCAAGTATCGTCCAATCGCTATAGTCAGTCGTCAAATGGCAATGAACAACGAATATAAAATAAATAAAACTTTCGATTTCTCGTCGTCCATAATTTTTTTTCCGTACTTTGTCCTCATATGCGAATAGATACTCATACTAACGTTAGAGGCACGTAAAAACGGCCTGTTCGTCAATTGACCAATCGCCTTATCAGTCCTTTATTTTTCAGAAAAGCAAGACCTTCCGTGGATCAGACAAGGGTTTGAGAATATGCGTCGCCGGTTTCTATTACGTGTCCTATTTCGTTTGCCCTCAATTATGTATCACACCTACCTACTGAAAGACAATGGTTCGAGATGGGCGGTTCCGCTGCTGTCTTTACGACAGCATTGACATGGCGGTAGTCGGTCGCTAGTTTCATTCCTCTTTTGGCGGACTGTTTCACGCGTTGCTCGAATCTCGTTCTGAAAAATTTTAAATGATTCCTCCTCCTCCTCCTCCTCCTCCTCCTCCTCCTCCTCTTTTGCTTTAATAAAGCAATGACTCCAGCTTTATTATCGCATTTATCATACGATCTAAGACAATTTGAGAATTGCGATCTATTGACAACTCTGCGCCGAGCAAACCAATAACAGTGCAGCAAGATCAAAATGATCTAGAAAGTCTAGCACTAGAATGGCGTGATAGGCGTCGTTGACCACGTTCACTGCCCACGCGAACGTCACGCCACTGCACTTTTCCATATTTACACCATTATATTTCGCACAATATGTGTGGTCAAAGTTCATATTCAACCTATGTATGCCATTGTGTCACAAATTGTTAAGCTACACCCAAAAATCAATGTGCAAAACTTACATGAACTATACAGAGATAGTAGATAAAACTACATATAACTCGGAATAGTGGGAACAGAAATGGTCAGAGATGGACGATGAAGGACCTGGGGGGGCAGGTTAAGGGTTGGTTCCAAACTAAACAAAAAATAATTTTGTTCAATACTGTCGGATGAGAACTTAAAGGCTAGTTCTCTCCGTTGTTCTATTTATTTTTACTGCTGCTTGGCTGTACAGTTATGTAATAATACCAGCGACTAATCACGATCATGATAGTGAAAATAGCGACATATATTGTATGTCATAATTGTCTTTCGCCGTGACTGGTACACTCGTGGCGTCGGTCGTTGACCGCTTGCTTTACGCTTCGTTCTCACGAATTCACTTTTGCACCCGCCAAAGCACTAGCGATGAACTTAATGGCTGGACATTGTTTTAGTTTAGTCAAAAGGAAAGCTTTGCAGATAGAAAAGCTCCCCTCACTAAAGAACGTTGAATGGGGCTGTTGGGCATGAGAGACAGCTGGGGTCAAATGGACCGTACGACGTGCATGTCTCTGGCTCGTTAAAAAATCTATGAATTTTTAGTGTATGCATAGAGTGCCGGTATTGATTGAAAAGAACTAGAATGATCCAAAAGTAATTCCATTAGCGGCTGAACATAGCTAGAAGTGTTTCATACTTTTGTCTCATACATCAATATCACTTATTGTCTATTGTTTAATATGTGAGCGAGATGCTTGAAAATAAATGGGACTAACGTTAGACAACACCGCCGAACGCGTATGAAATTTGTCCAGTTTCTTAGAACATCTGGTTTTACATAGATTATAGCTACTGATACTGGCAGCACTATCAGATGCTTTGCTTTAACTTATTATTCTGACTTATTAGCATTGTATTCTGCAATAAACAAGTGTATCTACTAAAAGGGTAATTCAAATAGTAACTGTATAACATTCCGTTTTCAGTCAGCGAGAAATGTTTTTGAAGGCAATAAAATAATTACTAGCATTGCATAGTAAAAATGTTAGTATTTATTTTGACACTGTTCTTCTGCGTTTTTTTAAACAAGTAATTTTTAAGTAAGGCGTAAGTAATTTCTTTGATCTCATTACCACCAGACTGTCAGTATCTGTTAAGACAATACGGGTACGTAGGGTCCCAGCGCCATTCAGGGTAAACATAAAATCGATCTACGGAGTTCAAATGTGGAGCGGTAAATATGAGCACATTGTTGATACTTCTATCTATGTTAAAGCTCTGTAACACGAGGTTCGTATGCAGATTGGTTATGACTACGTACTTCACATACAAGCAGCAATTGATGCCACCAGCTTGCCTGCCGACCTCGCTGTGACTGATGTCTAACATTATGAAATCCCTATGAAAGGGCTTCCGATTCTAAACTAGATAACGTCGCTGTTTTCGCTCTACTAACTCGACGGTACGTGCAGACCCATATACCCGTGTCTGTGTGTTTTAATTGTTCTAAGCGTATTAATTAAATAACTGGTATATGAATAATGTAGCGTAGTTTCTAGGCTAAACGGCATAAAAGCCCGCCTATATTCTCATCGTCACTTGCTAATAAGCCGTTTTGGCTTATCGCTTCTATTTAGTCTCCTAAACACCCGAAAGCGGCGGTAACAAAAGCAACACAGGCCACTTGATGATAAACAATCTTCGGCTGTAATGGTTTGATAACTCCGCTACAATTACATTGTAATCGGAGATAAACGAGAATTAATGAAGGAAGGATCAAATAAAGCTCATTGACGTCCATAGACGCCATCCTGTTCTGTCACTTGAAATCCTATTGAATGCCTAGGGAAGGCACTGACTGGAAGGGAACCTTTCTTTCAGTCTCCAGACGAAAATTGTAAGGTACTATGAGACTAATTGTAATGGTAGGCTAGCTAATTACTAGGTGGGGCAGTAAAGGCAGAACGGGAGACAATGCGATCCGTTCTAGATGCGCACAGCCGTTTGTGGTGAGTCCTTGCGATGGTCGAGATTCAGCAATACGCAAGAAGATCACTCAATTCGTAAAGATAATGTTAGATAGAACATTTCAAGAGAAAAGCAGTGCGCGAGGTTGTATGGCTTAGGGAAGTGGTGAAAATAGACGATTAGAACCTGTTCGTTTGTACAGCTGAAGGTTTTCACACTTCAGACAGATGCTTAGTATTTAGGGTACTTTTGTCGCGGAGATAGGTGATTGATAGACAAGCTGACGACGATCGTATGCGACTTGCCCATTGACTTCGCGTAATTTGTTGAACGATGGCGTTGTCAGTTTATCAACAAGATTTTCCTGTCGTTTGAGATTGAAATTTAAACGGCAAACAAGAAAAGGGACGAAGTATGAAATTGGGAAGAACTCACCAACAAAAAAGTAAATATATATGCGTGGTCTTTAATGCATGTTCTGAATTTATGAATGTATAGGCTTATATGAGTATTTTGAGCATCTCTATATCATCTATGATGTTTTTGTCATTTAATCTAAACTAATTGCAGTTTTCTCTCAACCTAGTTGAATTTAGCTCTTATGACGTTGAAGTAGCTCTATAGCATAAAGATAAAAACAGCCAGGCTTGTTAGGCCGCGAAGTGACCTTCAAATAACAATCTTTTTCAAATTTTGTATTAGAGGAACTAATAATACCGGATAGATATTCTCATGCTGTTCAATTAATATACTGCTTCGGCAACATTCACAATGATTAAGTAAGTTTACGAGCTTTCTCTATGAGATCCTGCTGGATCAGCGGAATAACTCACAGAAAAAAGAGGAACTCGAAAACTCAGCGCAGCCGATGCTTGTTTTGGGATCAATACTATACTAACGTATATTAATACATAATATGAGGCCACCTTCCATCTCTGGGTATCGAACGCCGGGCCATACTTTTATATCCTAACAGCCAACCATCTTTGCAACGAACGGAACATCAAAATGAGTTAGTAAATACCCCAGATGCTGTAGCTGAACATTGCTTCAGACGATTGACTTCTACTATCGCACGGAATGGCTCTACACCGAGTTTCGAGCTTCGACAACCTCATGCGTCCTTTAGGGTAGCAGGCAAACGTATAGATGTTTATGTTGAAATACGTGATGGGGTAGTGATCAAAAGTAGCTGGTTAACTCCAACGGTGAAAATAGAACTTCTTTATTAGATCAAGATTCAATGTTTGGTCATCCTTGATGTTAAATCAAAAGGGTAAAATTGCAGTAGCATGGGAAACGACCCACTAAAGTAATGTTAGCTAAAAGTTTTTAAAGTTCATACATAAACTGATCGCGCGAACGTTTTAGGTATAATATTCTAGATAAGTCTTACATTGCTTCGTTTGCATTTTGGTCCGGCTTATTGCAGCAAATGGCTTCCATAATGGAATACTTCGATCCATCGAATCGAGGAGTGATTACCTTCGAAGATTTCTGTCGCGGTGTTGCGGCTATCACTAGTAATCATCTTCAACAGCAACAACAGCAGCAAGGTACGAAAATAATCGCATTATTAGCCTAGACCCTCCTTAAACGTCACCATTATAATTACACTGAAGGATGGTCCAATACAATGGCTTGGTTATAGTTGGGTCCGTGAGCAGCACCTTTGCCGAAGCACGAGATGCATTTGCTAAAGTGCATTAACTAAAGAAAGTTATTGATTGAAAAAGATTTTCACTTCATTTAAGTAAGTTCGCGTATCTCTTAGGGTCAATATCGACAGATATAGTAAGCTAAGCAGCTTTTGGTACCTTGTTAAATTTAGCAGATTTTCAAGGTGACGCAATGAAAACACTTTTATTTCTTCCATTTTTATCACGTTATTTCTGCCGATAGTTCGTTCTTCTGTGATACCAGCCAACAGCTCAATGTAATGTTGCAATGTCCTACTCGTTCCCTTGGTCTATCACTAGGTGACTGAAACTGATGTTGTATTACTTAAGCAGTAAAGAGCTGGCACAATGCGCGTATTATTCGGTTCGTCATTGTAGCACATGTCTAGATTCGTCCAACAGGCTTCCGGTTGCAGAAGCATGACAGCGTAAAAGAACGTACGAAAAAAAAAACGTCACCAGAGATCAAATGAACCATGTAATGGTTACGGGTTATCCTTAAGCAGCTTAGGACAGGCCATCACACACAGTCCCTTATAGATCGTTGAGACTGACTTGTACAAGGGACACTGGTCATTGCACAAAAAGATTTTTGCAATAGCTCTAAGATCTGAGTTCCTCAGTCTGTTACTGTACTCCTACATGACGAACTATGCAGATGTCTCTCAGATCATAGCAACTAGTTATCCGATAAAAGTCGGAAGCATCATGAATATTTACTATTGCCTTTAATTCATTATCAAGTACAAGTGCTTACACCATTTATAGACGTAAGGTTTTACTTCTCGGCAGAAAATATATCTTGGAAATATGAGAAACTGTTTGCGTTACATTTTTTTTTTTCTATTATTTCTTCAATTGGGGCCAAAAAAATTTTGTCAGTATAATAATAATAATATAAAAATACGACGAAACATTTTTACGAAAATGCTAAGCTTTTTATAAAATAGTGTATAATTTTTTTTTTTGTTGAGATCAGCATATAGTGTGATTTTGTATGTTAGATCGCGAAATGAAAAGCATTGTTTCAGGTAATACTTAGGCTAATATTCTGCGAAACCTTCAAGCCAATAAGTTCAGATAACTTTCCAGAACAGCGTCAAACGGCGTTGTCCGGAAATTAGATCTCTCTCACATATTGTTCACGCCGCCTAAATATAGGTTTGTTTAAAGCTAGCAAGCCGTTTCCCAAAACTGGGCCTTAGTAACCCAATAGGTGTAAAGTAACGCGCGATGTAAAGTCTTAATTACAACTAATGAAAGTTGCTGTGTTTACAAATTTTAGCAATGGTGTCGTTTCATAATTAGTGAATATCTTTTGATAATTTCTAAAATGTTCATAACGTCCCATTCAGGGTGGCTTGCATTGAACAGCGGTATACTGAAAAAACCATAGTCATCTATATATGCTACAGCGGTACACACCAGAGCAATAAACCAAGAAACATTTAGTGCCATTCTGTTGCAGAAAACAACTATTCCAGTAGTTTAATTTCATGCTGCACGACGTATTTATACACTGTATATATATAAACTTCATGCCCTATATACATATATGTGTTCCAGACTTAACGACGCTCATGGTGCTTACGGTCTGTTCTTCCATTAAGACGTCGCAGTACGCATCTGGCAAAATTTAAAATCTATCTGTTGTATTCTATTCTTCACTCTCGATCGCAAACACACAACCGAATCTTAGCTTAAACGTTCTCATCTCAGAATTAGCTAGGATGCTATTAAGGACAGTTGCAGTTACCTATTATGATCACAGGACAAATGAAGACATTGAAGCATGCTAAAAATAACTTACGATTACTAACAAGATATAAGAGCTATCTAGCGGGTCGGTGCCTTTTAAGTTAGTTGATATTGTCAAATATAAACCGGACAGGTCGTTTTTACTGCTCCCATCTCCAATATGATTATAATTTTTAGGCTGCTTTAAACATGAAATAATATAGTTCAGGTTTTGGTCTTACATAAATAGCATCGATAAGTATAGACGCGGTTCGTCCAATGGTATAGCACTTCGAGCACAGAACAATCGCCGAACTGTTTTTAATTCTTTTTCCTTTTTTTTTTCATAACTGCTTTCCTTTATGCAGTTGAGTTCTGTGTGTACCTTTATGACTCAACACATTTTCTCGTAGGCCAAATGCTAGTAACTTTTACATCTTGCACCAGAGAGGATTTTTAATCAAAGAACTAATCAACGTACCGTAGAGTGACCAAATCCAAGCGTAAGAGACGTGTCGGCCGACCGCAATGATGTCTCGAACATCGGCGGTGGCAGTAGCGACGGTGATTGCAAAAGAGAGGTGCTCGCTGCGCATCCTAAGCCTATGTTCTTAATGGGTTCGACAACGTTGGCTTTACGCTGATTTTGCCTGGCTTGCTTTTGTTAGACATGCACTGTTGCTTATGCTAACGCGCACTTCTCCCGCTGCTACGATGGTCGTGCTTACTCCTTAACGATATAATGTCCAACGTGACTAAACGTGCCTTACGTAACTATACCATATAGCTTTATCTGCACTGATGATATGTTCGTGCCGTCTAGGAAGTTAAATTGCCCGATGCCTGAATTCGCGCAGGGATATGCACTAAAGGTTGGAAAAAAGAGGTGCCTATTATGACCGATAGCGGAGGTGGTATTTGTAGTCTACAAGTGCGGCTATAGATTACCTGTCGGGTATGTCTGTTTGCAAATACATTCGCAGGGTAATTGCAATAACGCAAGTCGCAATGCGTCACAACAGGCGACGGGGTAACTGATTGTCTAAAAAAGTGGGGTAAACATTTTGTTGCTTCCTTTCTAGCTATGATGGATCTAGGTGAAGCTTACCGCGCTGCTTGTTGACCAGGAGTGTCAAATAAGAAAGGTAATTTTAGAAAGCTTATGGATCAGTATCTCTCGAGATACAAGCGGACAAAAATTGTAAGAGGGTAAGGGGCACTGCGCCCCGCTCTGGTTGAAGATGTGCCCTATTTGGTCTACATAGATTCCCATCGTCGGCAAAATTGAGGGCTGACAGAAGGCAACAAAGGGAGGAGGAAAATGTCGAATGAATCGTAAGTGGATGGCAACATCTAAAAAAGTCGACTAAATCACCAACTGTCAAATGAAAGTCGGTGATGATTGTAACAACAACAATGGAAGCAACTAATAAAAAGCTATTGTCAGTTATGAATTATTGCTAACTAAACTATTTTTTAAGTGTTCTGTAAAACTTAAAAGTTGACTAAAGTAGGTGCTCCATAAAACAATTGGTTAGCATTTTAGCAAGGTTCAGACCACATGATCAGGCATCAAACTAGTAAACATGTGTGGATTCAGAAGCTGACGAACTATTAAAAAGAATACCGCAACAATACATTTCGCGCAATATTTTTGCAGCGTTATATTATATACTTTAGTGGCGAATTCAGCTTTATATAATAGCAACGGTGTGTACTATCTAGCAGTGCAAGACACTCGATGTACTGTCACAGTCGAGGATAATAAATAGCATCATTATATTAGTCTCGTTGTATTCTATGGGCAGGCGTCTGGTAAATCGAGGCGCGATATTTAAACTGTCTGATACCGTCAGTTGTGTAAGTGGGTCTGTTTCTATTAACTTTCATTGTCGTAATCGAAGTGACCATATGGGCGTAGCGAGAGTAGGTCTTAGCTTAAATATTGTTCCAAGCAAAAGTGTTGTTGTTAATCCTATAGCAAAAATCGTCCAGACTATAGCTTATATTAGCGCCGAACGCTGGACACTTGTACGCATCATACAACATAAACGTTCGACCTTTTTGATGTTCCCTTTAGCGAGTTGTTAAAACTCTTAGATCGTAAACTAACGCTAGCATGGCCTTTGATTGACAAAGCCACAGACATTTTATGACTTGTTTACGTTCATTATATGTGTATTCTTCTTTGCTTTTTGCTGAATTGCGAATATGTTACCATAGCGGCCTCGTCTACAACACTTGTCTATAAAGAAGTATTATATTTTCTGTTTGCAGTTAGTCTGCGAAAGTTACATCGTCGGCTATCGTATTATGACGCCAATTGTTTAATTATTACCGTCAGAAGTCAAAACGGCACAGACATGAAGTTTTTTCAACTATAGACGCTTCTAAATTTGCGAAGGAATGACTCAACAAAAAATGAACGCACATCCTATATAAATTTTCTGACAAAGGAAAATTCAGTTTACAATACTTCCAAAAGTCATTGTGTTACAGAAAAGCGCACGCAATTGTTGACGCTTCCTTTATTTCATATCGATTACAAAAGGCCTATGTGCTAAATGTTGTCGATGCTTGTACGCAAGACATTGGCAGGGCGTTCGGCGCTAACGAATGAAATTAAGAGTCTTATTTACGATCTAGCCACTCAACTATGGATCAAATTATTGCATATGTATATTTTGTATCTTGTTAGAACTTGTTAACTTAACACGTGGCCAAGAATCAACAGTGAACAGTGTCAGGGAAAAGGCCCACTAGGTGAACATAAAACGCTAGTGTCACTAATTGGACGATTACTAAGCGTAAGACGCACCTAAAATTGTGGCGTATAACTTTACATGTGACGTTTGAATAATCTATTTGAAACAGGTACGCCAAATTCGGCGCAAGCGCAATATAAGCTTATATTTCTGGATATAATGAGTTTTCCTAGATAATAGTTTTTCAATTTAGGCCTTCTCGTCAAACTATTGAGTCCTATTGTTCGGGACTTTGCTCATTTAATTGACTTTTTGTGGGTGTGTGTGGTGCTTCTGACATTATAGGTAGCAAAAAAAAAAATTCTATCCATATGATCCCTGGGTTTACTTTGCATCCCGGGTATTGCCCTATCAACTGCCCATTCAAACAACAATACTAGACCGAGTTGAGTGACTGGTATGAATCAGAGAATTAAAGACACCCAAGGTTAAGTTAGCCAGAATAGCGAACTTTCCGAAACGTCGGATATCGTCACAGTTGGTTTCGAAATCTAGTTTGTTTTCCGTCTAAACGCATCGGCATTTTAAGAATATGACGTGAAAACAGCATGTCCGTGCAGAGTATTGCAATACAATAGTTTTATTCAGGTTTTTTATTATATGGATAATTCAAAAAAGCTCAGCCCGACGAACGCCTAAGTAAACAACGACTCTGGTTCCTTCCCTGAAAAATTGCGTATTTACATTTATACCAGTCAATCATATCGTCTTGCTACGACTTTTCCTAAATGGAAACTCAGCTATTTTTTGTCAATACGTAAACGGTGAATAGCTGCTGCTAGTTCAGGCGCGATCAGCTCTAGCTGCTACCGTTTCCGTGTCCGACCAACGGCCTAATTCTTCACAAGTTGGTGCTAGCGAAAAAGTCCGCGCTCTGTGAAAGGAACCGAGCGATGAGACCTGGAGTCCAGCCAGCTGTCCGAAGGACAAACCAGACACATATCTCCAGCTATCGGTTAAATAGCCACAAGGAATAAACGAATTGGGGGTCAGGTCGGGCCGAAATACAGGCAGTTAGCTGCGATAGCGGCGTTAGGTTATGGTCCACGTGGTCGCCTGCTCTGACACGAGGGAAGGAAGGAAGGAAGGAAGAGCTTGCGTGCACGGCGAAGTAATCTTTCCGACAAGAAAAACCACATGCATATCGTGTAAAGAACAATTGGCAATATTTTCTGTACAGAGTTGCCAGATACTGACCGTAAATGTCCTACGAAAAGAAGGTGCCACATAAACACTGCAGTGATGTATGCTCATCCAAGCATCCGAATTCTTCTTCGGACTTCTTCGGGCAGCCTTTTCGAACAACAGGTTCGGTAACGCAGCTTTGCTATGTATCCGTCGGTCGAAAACTGACAGCAGATCGGTTAACAACGACAAGTTGTTTACATTCTTGACCATAACATTATGTATCTCTGATACGCTTTGATGAATATCCATCACTTTCAGTGATGGAGCAACTGAAACGATCTGAAATCGTCTCGTACCATGTCGTACGTTTATTTTTCTGTCATTCGTCCATGATGACTCTAAAGTATTACTTCTACCTCACTTTCTCGTATGTGAGAATGGTGGGAAATCGCTCTTTTCGTGCAGTTATCCCACCTGATACAAACAGAAGAGAATCTTCTATGCAACCACAATTGCTTCCATTGAGAACTAGTCGCACATATATTTCTTCGACAATACTACTAATCGTTTAGCTATGCCGCCAAAGAACAAAGAAGGTGTTATTATGACAACAAAATAAAGGAATAATTGTTAATATGACAGTGAAATATTTAATATTCGGTTTGTAATGTTTCGAATTGACACGCGGGGTGGCAAAGTATTTGATTAGATACTATGCGGAAGAGTCCTGTGCTTTGCTATAAAACTACTGTAATTATTCCAAAGTTCATGACCTCGAAACTCTGCTCTTGCTACAGGTAACACATAATTAGGGCGTTTGTGGTATCAGTAGGTACTGAAATGTGTAAATTCAGTTTATATTACATACAACTACTATGATTCTTTTGAATTTCAGGACTCTCTTCCCCACGCGACTCTAGTCCAGACTCGTTGCGGCAGGAAGTGCAGGTTCGTATGCTATTCACACTTTTCAAATTACCTACAACAGAAACGATCTTTTCGGTTACTATTTGGTACAGCTTTTTCATGCGCGGGCTTCATTTAGCATGTCCGCCGTATGACTGCCCTCGTTGTAATAATTAACGTTTCATTCTTGCGCACTTATAATACCTAATGCTCACAAGAACTCACAATCTTCACCTGTTCGTAGTTAACAATCTAATATTTGATTTGTATGATTTTCGACGTAAAAAAATGACGCAAAGCTCTTAAAAAATAGTTTAAGGACTTCCTTCGAATTTAATTCATGAGACCTCATTCTCTACCTAAGGGAACGCTAGGGGGCTATTTATGATTTTAAGTGTCTCATTTCTGCTACGGGCTGTTTTAAAACTAAGAACGTGTCTCAATGTACATACCGGACAACATCGTTCTACTCACTCTAGAGGTAGGTATTGGAACGTACGTACAATTAATGGATGCACTTGTATAGCCAAAAAAAAGTTCGGAACTCGGTCGTCCAAATGCTCGAGCAATCCCGTCTAGAAAAGCTACGCAGAGAGTCCCACATGAAACCCCTCGCTTTCGAGATACTCTTTCTGAATGCCGTCTATTACAAAAACATAAGAATGCTACGAGAAGGCCAGTTAAGATGGCACTGATGAAACGTTTAGGAAGTTCATGGACATCTTATAAGACCGCGCGTCCTAACTAAATCACATGGTTGGTCTAATGATGTAGCTGGATTGATAATCCATATTTTTTGCTATAGTTATACCATAGTATATCCGTTTCTTGGAAACTTCGAGAAGTGTAACCACAATGATTTTAGCATAAGAAGTAAGTCTGCATACCCCTTATGGTTTGTTGCATGCAAATTGATTTAGTCAATCTACCTGTAACCTAATCCACCTAACGGCGGCGCCGGACATTCAAGTGAAACTTTGTTTAGATTAATTTCTCAAAGCTTTTAGAATTTTGACACTGACCTTTTGCGGCAGAATTTTTTCGGATAGACTTTAAAACTGAATAGCTTTTGAATGTAGGAGACGAAATTCGGCTGGTAAATATTCCATCTTCTGGAAACTTGCGATTTCCAGAAAGTTGCAGAAAGAGTGAAAACCGGCTGGCTTTACTTCAGCAGAAATTAGTTCAAAAACATCTTTTGGTTTTGCTCCTCGAATGCCGCAACGCTGTAGAGTATTCATTAAAGATTGATGAAGATTTTAGGCAAGGAGGCCTTGAGCGAAAGCACAGTACGTGGATGGTGCAAACATTTTAACAGCGGAGACAGGAGAATCGAAAACCAGCAACGAAATGACCAGATGTAGAGACGCGGGAAACAAAAACGTATTGTTGTAATCGAAAAGGATTTTCATGAAAGCTTAGCTTGGGATCTAAGAACTCTATCGGCGAAAACTCGCATTTCATATGTAACATATTACAGAACTTAAATGCTGAATAAAGATAGCCCTCCCGTAAATTGACCCTAGACTAATAGAAGTTGCATGTGATGTATTGCACGTGAAACCACGGAACTTTAACCAACAAAGGACTCGCCTGGAACATACGGTCGTCATAGGAAAGGCTTGATTCTGCTTCCATCGCCAGCCGGAACGTGACCTGAGAGAGAGAAAGGCGTCGCTCTGGAAGGAAATCGAGTAGCAGTACCGTCAAGTGGTTTCAGAAGTGAAGTGGTGGGGCTACTTCCAATCAGTATCAGAGGCATTTACTAATATATAAGATATTCTCTGAAAATGAGACAATTCATACAACCTGATAGCTCGAGTTCTTCGAATGCTAGAGGTATAGCTATCCAGAATTTGTCAGAACGATAGGACAAATGTGCAAAAAATAAAGGAGAATATTTCTAAAGCATATTAAAAGCATCCTTAGGGTCTTACTAGTTCAAAAATTGTTCAGTTTCAAAGGCCTGCGGATTCATTTGTAACAGCCTAATATAATCGATTGTGTCTTTGAACCAGCGTCTGGGAAGGAAAAGACTTGTTTATAGACATGGACTAACTTTCATAGAATGGCTGCTATAATATGTGAACGAATAAATAACGTGTAGTGTCATGACTGCTCAGCTGAGTTAAAATTGAAGAAACTCCAAACAGGTCAATGAAACTATAAATGCTTGTAATCTTAAAGAAATCAAGAGCTTTTTATTATGGAATAGCTTGATGTATCGCTTTTATGCTGAATGCTATTGTAGTATATGGAAGCTAAGCAACAACTAACTAAAAAAAACATCCTATTCGTTTACAATAGCCATAAGCAGTCTCGCCTTAATTTCCCTCCGTGAAATGCTTCCAGCAGGTACGGCTGCTTCGTTCATCGAGGACATAACAGATATCAATCAGAAATGTTGAATAAGGGAAAAAGATTACAAATTATTATTAATTTTTGCCTTTTTTGCTATTGGAAACCGATTAATATATCATTGGTTCATCATTGAAAATAAACTGATATTATCTATAAATGAGCATCTCAAACATGCGGCATCATAGTCCACAGTGGTCAATAGCTCTGATAGGCTGATGATGATTTCTTCATGCAGTAACGACCCTGGTTGTCATTTGATTAACAGAAACAGCCGTTTATATAGCCATGGTTGTGCTAATTTTGCAGCGACAATTATTAGCGTAGTGGTAACCGTAGTAATAATAAATAGGATCACCGTTACAGAAATGCTAATGTCATTTTGAAATTTGTTCCTCTGCTTCTACCTGTCTCTGCCTATGTATATGTTAAGAAAATGAGTAAATAGATAGAAAGAAAAACGTATGTAGAAGTGGTACTAAGATAAGTGTTGGGCCGGCTAAAGGTCCTATGTTCAGCTCAGCGTCGAAAAACAATAACAAACAATATCACGTGACCGCATCGCGGCAATCAGAGGATAAGTTTGCGCACGAACATTCTTTATCGGCTCGTTACGCTCGTTGGTCAAGTTTTTTTACGATGGTAGGCGCGACGTCGGGTCTCTAATCGCTTGATGCGTATTTTCACGTTCAAAGTCATGAACACAACATGAAAGCTTCACACCATTTCCGTCGTAACTGTTTAGCACGTTTAGATAGAAATGTTATCAAAAGATATATAACAAAAGTTTAGCCAAAGAAACCGGAAGGGCGAATAGGCCTTAAGGGAAGGAAGACGAAGTGGAAAGACGGCGAAATGACAATACAAAGTAGGAGAACCAATTTAAAAAATGATGAACCAACGAGTTGCCAATGGCTTACAAGTGTGATAACTTATCTTTCCAAACTTCGCACGATATCAAATGAACAAGTTAATTTAGTCGGAAATGAGACTAGATTTGTGAAAGCTTGGAACAGTGTGATGCAGTAAAAGTTGCAGTAAAGGCGCTTTATTTTTGACAACTTGTGTTTAATTAGTAATCCTCATTAACTTGGTTATGAAATGCTGAATACGTTGGTCTTTGCCAAGAAGGTTTTTCGAGGAACGTTTGTATAAATTTGAGCACCGATCTCCTTTTCTGTATGACCATGACAGAGCACTGCCTCGTCGAGATACAAAAGTACAATTAGCTTCTCCAACTTAATTAACTGATAATCACAAAAAAGAGACCTTCTAACGGACGTTCTTATAAGAGTTGCCTTTATACAAAAACGTAAAGGTATTGACGCCGCAAGATTTCACAATGATGTGTAGATGTTCAGGCTAAGACAGAATGAATGGCACCAGAAATACTTCAACGGTGCTTTATACGTGGACTATTTACGTTGGCGATACTCCACCTGAACCACCTGAGAAACTGTTACAAAAATGAGTTGTTTGTCGCACCCTAGATCGTGTGTATGAGTTAATCACCGGATTCTCTAGTACTTCTGCTCATAATAGTGTTGACGCTTATCTGAATGGAAAAAGTTCAGCCGTAGGAAGCATCACAGACTCGTCTAAAATAACAAAGCCAAACTGACCGATACCGATTTTAATTTATACATAGTGTTTATCTTGAAATTACAGCACAATATCGCATTTTATTATAAATGCCCTTTGACGAAGATGAACAATTGAATTCGTGTGATGGGCGCGGTATAATGCGAAAACGCTCTTACTTGTAAACAGTGACTCTTATACGTCGCTGTTTTCCTATAGGCTGCTGAGTATATGAGTGGAAGATTTGTGGAGGAAATAAGCGTCATAGCCAGGGCGGCTACTGGGATATCAGTTGTGGCGGGAATGTATATTAATCAGATTGTTCGCTTTTGCTGTCCGAGGTGCGGAAGTCCATTGCACGTTATCATTACAAGCATTTGATCGCATTTCTATTCACACAAACCTGCTATTAATTCAACGGATGAGATAATGAGAGGTTGAACGCAATTTTAGAACAGTTTATTATGAACTTAAAATAACTACTAAGTATTATTATAGATAAAATCATAAAGTTAAATTATTTAAGTCAAATTTACCAAATAAGACCATCTAACCTTTTTTTTTATATACAAAAAGCTTTTGTCTATACACATCTCTCAATATTTTCGATTGCTCGACATTTCTAGTACTCAAAAGGGAATTGCATACAATCATGCTAATTAAACTAGATAAAATCAATAAAAGACAACCATTATCGACGAGAATTGGTTGCAGCGTCGCTGCGTTGTCGTTTACTATGAGTCATACAACGGTTAAATTGTTGCCATAAAACCGTTAAAAATTACGTTATTTATATACGAGTTGCCGAATGATTAATCATGTAAATACTCTAACGATGTTGTAGCATTTTAGTAATATCTAGAAAAAATAAAATGTAATCTAGGAGAAAGATGTAATATATTTGGTCATTTGTGTAAGCTTAAAGTTAAATTGATATTATCTCTACATAAAAATCTACAGAGAAACCTAGAAGCAATGCTTAAAGTAAACAAAAGTTCGACGCATATGGGTTTCGCATTTAATCGGGGACTACTGATACGTGGCGCCATCTATAGAGCGACTAAAGAAATTGGCAGTTAAATTCTAGCTCCCCCTGTTGGAGC